AGCAGCAACAACAACAACAACAACAACAACAACAACAACAACAACAACCACAACCAACCAACCAACCAACCAACCAACCAAACAAACAAACAAACAAACAAACAAACAAACAAACAAACAACAACAACACGAAAATAAACGCTCATCGCGTTTCGAAAGGGGTCTTTTCGTATACACTCACCAAAGCCCTAAAACCCTGTTCTTCATGCAGGCTTAATGCTCCGTCGAGAACCCAAAAGAAAGCCTGCTCGTCAACCTCACGAGGCCGACTAGACTGGGACAGGACTTGATGACTCAAAGCCTACGTTTAAGACTGTGCGCGAGATCCCCGACGTGCTGTGAGACTGCAGATTCTGGCAGCCTGTGACACCTACGAGCAACGCAGCAATGATGGAACACACAGAAGACCGGCAACTCCCGGCCTCCCACTCTGCAATCGGACTGCTTTGGCTTGGCGCAACGTGAGGGAAAGTGGCAGCTTTGGCCAGGATCGGCGAAAACCTTGGTCTGACTCAGCACCGCACTGATGCGCGGGCTGCTGTTGAAAGTTGTTGTCAAACTCGAACCTGCATGCAAGAGCCTATCGCTCATCCGATTTGCCGGCTACGAACCAAGACGACGTGGCATAAGGCGCATGCATAATCATGCACATGCAATTGCGCACGTATGCATACCAGACAAAAATGAACTTGTCATGCGGTTTGACTGCTATTTTGTAAGTATGGGGTTCTGCAATAAGTTCGGACCGTTCAATTAAAAATTACATATCTTCAACTGCCCAGTGCACTGCTAGACTAGAGGAGTCGCACATACGTCCAGGGATATGTCATTTGCTGACACCGTGGGAACGCACCGAATAACAATTCTGCTCACAAGCAACCGAGGTGCTCCCCGTCACTTAGCGGCTCGTACGGCTCCGCGCAGGGACAAAACACCAGGAAGTTCAAGGAACAACACAAGCCTTACACAGATGCTTTCTGAGTGCAGGCACCGGTGGCTCGGTCGTTGTGCATCAGAGTGACGCACGGCTGCCTCCACTTTGTGGTGGCCGTCGAGCAATATCCAAGTTCTATGTCGGTTGACACCTCGGTGCTCGCAGTCACGACAAGATGCGGTTTTCAACGAAAACCTGCCCGCACGGTTGTCGAGAGGCTGTGGTCCATGTACCCCTTCTCAACAGCATCTCTCAGTCCTCGGACAGCAAACACCTTCCCGAGCTGAAGCACCGGCGGCCACAGAAACGCCCGCAACTTGCGCAAACAAGGCAGAAACGAGCCACAGGCTAATCCCACTGTCTCTGATCCGACGTTTCGAAGGAAGGAAACGCGTGCCCATCTGCCAGACACTCGAAAGTGCCAACCCGAATACAGAAAGCTGGGTTTGTGTTGAGACGCTGCGATGGAAGCACAGAACACACCCAGAGCAAATACAGCAGATTTTTTTCCATAGTCTACTAGATGGAGGACTGTGCAAGAGTACCATCATCCAAGTTTCGTTTTTGGAGGCGACGTCCGCCTGGACCTCTGACCTCATCGCCCTCATCAGCTTGCGGCGCGTGGATCTGACCACCGTTGAAGAAGTCAAGCACCTGAGATAATTGCCACAAAAAGCCCGAGGATGATCATATGTGATTATCCTCAACCTCCATCCTGAGGCTCTGTATCTTTGGTGCCACGGTACGAGTGCAGTGGGCCGCGCATTGGAACCAGTGGCCAGGGCCTCCCGCAGCTGTGCCTCGTAGAACCTCTGCTCACCACGTTCGGTGCTGCAAGCTGCACTGTTGTCGCTGCAATGCAATATGGCTTTCTCTGCACTGTCTCAACCGCTCTGTCGTCTAGAGTCGAACATGCCCAATGTCCCATATCACAGCGGCGGCTGAGATGCTGCATCTCTCTCTCGCTCTATCTCTCGAACTCAGTCACCAGTCAGCCGCGACACAACGCACAGCAATTTCGCTATGCGCGTGGACCTACAAAACAGTGCGAGAACTAGAAACATCGAGGCTACCGCGATCTCGCGTGTCGCGTCTAAAGATACCGTCCTGAACTTCTTCGATGCCGATTTGAGGTAGCTGTTGCAAGTTGCTTGTGACCGCACGAGCGCGCCATATAGTGTCGTGATACGACAGAAGCGCGACACTGTAATTGCACCATGAACAAGTATCGTATAGTATCAGAGACCGAGGAATGTTGCATGCAACTCAGGAACTCCACTCGAGTTGCCTCCAAATGCTCCTGGGTCTTGAGAAGGTGATGACATGAGCCTCAGCTGCTTCGCAACTGGCAGCCGCGCACACGTGCAAGGACCAAGGGCCTCACGAGCTTTGGCCGAGCATCAATTCAAGCACTGATCCCAAGTTGGCGTACGAGCTGTTCACAAGAGCGGCAACATGTTGCCAAGGAGCAGATTCTGCCGTTGCTTTTCAACGTGTATGACAGGTAGCCTTGCAAAGGTCATGCGAATGTCTTGCGAAATCAACCGTCTGCCACTGGCAATATTCACAACTGTCAACTGGTGGGCACTGATGCTGCAGTCAGTTCCTTCTTTTGTCCTTATGAAGTTGCTTTATGCTTCGATGTCGCTACCGCTCCGATTTCTCACTCAGTTCTTTACATGCAAGTTGGCCTGGTTGTGCCATGATGTCGTTGGTCCTTTGCGGTCGCCGGACCGATCATCTGTGTCACGTAGACCGCCCTTGCGGTTCTTTCTTGATGAGCCATCCCAAACTGAGGCCATGTTGCTTCCCAGACTGAGGCCATGTTGTTACCCAAGTTTGTTTAACCACCACCACCGCAGGAAACTGCAGAAATATTTGACAAGGCCCAACCAATTTGAGGACCCGAGGGGGTCCGAAACTGATTTCTGGGAAAGCCTGACCCGAAAGCCCCAAGACCAGTTTGAGGACCCGAAGCTGATTTCTGGCAAACGGTAATCAAGCATAATCAAGCCTGACCCGACCCATAGTAAGTAAGTAAACACGTAAGTACGTAAGTACGTAAGTACGTAAGTACGTAAGTACGTAAGTACGTAAGTCTGTAAGTCTGTAAGTAGGTAAGGAAGTAAATTAGTCTGTAAGTCTGTAAGTCTGTCTGTAAGTAAGTAAGTAAGTACGTACGTACGCAAGTAAGTAAGTACGTAAGTAAGTAAGTAAGTAAGTAAGCAAGCAAGTAACTAAGAAAGTAAGGAAGTAAGTAAGTAAGTAAGTACGTACGTAGGTCGGTAACGAAGTAAGCAAGCAAGTAAGTAAGGGTTTGTCAAGTAGCTAAAGTAAATATGAGCCAATGTTAAAAGGACTCTTGTCAATGTTATGTTTTCTTATCATGGTAAGAACTTGATATGCATCCCCAAACGCTCTAATCTAGGCATTACTCTTGCCGAACTCGTCTATGTTTTACCATCTCAAGAAGCAATCGCGGGGGCTGCCCCGGATTTTCTCCAGAAAATTCGTATCCTCCAGAGCATAGGGCGCTTGCAGGTCGTAGTGTTGAAATGTATCCTCAGTAAACAGTGAATGATACTTAACCTGTGATTCTTTGGCTGCATGTTCTCCAGAACAAGATGTCTCGAGGTCAAGCTCACAAAGCTAGTAGAACGCACTGTCGCAAGTGGCCGGCCGAAAGAACCAGGTTCGGAGAGCTCGATGCTTCGCAACCCGAGAAAACGCCGCTCTTTAACAAGAAAGACACAAAGTTTGACTCAAACGATCGACTCTTTGAAAGCATTCATGGAATTTGAGAAATCCGGCAGCAGTTGCAGCTGGCTCTCTGCAGATTGGTAGTGGGGAACCAAGAGTCCTGGACTACATACCCAGATGGCCGCTTCAAGAGCTTCTGTTTTGCCAGGCATCTTGGACCAAAGCCACATCGTACTTGGCATCCGGGAATAGCATTGACAGGGTGGACAAAGTGCCAGGGTTCAGCAGCTGTGCAGCGTCAATGGCTTGCCTCATTTTGTTTCCAGTCTTTCTCGAATCCATACTGTAGTGCTGTGGAGCTCCTCGCTCACCGGCGATCATTACGAAATCGGCCCTGTGGAAGTCAAATTACCAGAAAGACCCTTCGGCACTTCTGAAATCTGAGCCGGGTGCCGAGGGTCCAAAGACCGCCGCAGCTTCTGGCCAAGTGCAGCAATTTCTGTCGCGCAGCCATTCCCGAAGCTCTGCTTCAAGTTGTTCTCTTGCAGGAGTTGCACGTCCGTGGAGCCAGGAGTCCTGAACCACAGGCCCACGGTGTCCAAATTTAGCTGCAGCAGATCGTGCCCGAGGAGCGCCAAACTCCCTTCCATCTGGAAGGCTGCCGACCCTGCCATCTCCAGCTGAAACAAAGCCGGGGAGTGGCGAATGACCAACCGCATGGCCGGATGGTCTGGAAAAGTGCCTCCTTCCCTGTCTTCCTCGCCTGGCAGAACCATCCACTGTCCGAGGAAGTTCTGCAGGTCCTGGATGATACTGGCATGAACTTATTGGTTTAACTCAACTTACTCGTGCAGCTATACTTACGTCGCACGTGTTCATACCTTCTGCATTCCGGGCTCTCGTTGTTGTGCGCCGTGGCAGTTGGGCCTCACTGCTTACTTCGCTTGTTACCTACCAGTAGCTTCCACGTCTTTGGCTTTCTCTGTGGTCAACAGCAGGTCAGAGCCAATCCTGCCGCAAAGGCTTGCATCCGCGCCAGTCTTCAGCACTGATGTGCCGGAAGTAGTCCTTGAAGACGCGATGGAGGGCACTGTCCACCTGATGCTGTCGTGAGTTGGCGATTGCTTGCATCACCTAAGGCCCTACAGGGAGTCACCACGTCGACATAAATCAAAGCCATGAGAAGCCCGATCCAGCAAAACCTGCTGAGTCATTCGTCTCAGGCACTGCCGCCGGCATACCTGCCGTGCGAGCACCGGCTGATCAATGACATGATTCGTGATGTTGCCGTTCGGGCATTGACAAGCGACACTGATCCGCCAAACGGGGGAGAAAGGATGCCTAATTGGCGCAAGGCAAGATGCTTCTGGAAGATCCCCGCAGTTGAAGCAGCGGATCAAGGCCAAGCATTTCTCCGAGGCCACTGCCTCGGCTCAAGCTCCGAGCTCCCTGGACACCCCGCCAGCTGACCCGTAGCCGAACCTGGGGGCGAGCCCAGCTCCGTTTGTACTCGCTGTCCGCTGGACTGCAACCACCCATGCCCGAAGCCCTGTGATGGCGAAGGGCATACTGCCGCCGTGCCCATCGCTTGGAGGCCAGCCGCCCGAACCTGAACGGCTGTCAAGGATCCTCCGCGACGTGGAGCGCTGGACGTCCACGCCTTGCTAGTGTCCGGCTCGAGAAAAGGAGTATCATCCCAACCTGGCGGTATCTTGTGGGTGTGTCGAAGATATGTATGTGGCAAAGACAAACGCCAACCTGGTCAACGACTCACGGTCATAATGCACAACCTCATGCCGAAGTAAAATCGAACGACGCTCCCTGACACCGTCAAGTGATGTTACAACAACAGCCCAGTGGCGGGCAACAGCATTTCTGGCCCGCCCGAGGCTGTCACGCCCCATTTCTGCAGGTACCTAGCGCGTGGCACAGCAACCCAGACTTCTATGATGTCATTGGTGTGCTTTCGGTCAATTGCTCGGACGAGCTACCGGCACGCCTCGAACTTCACTGCACGAATCACATTCACGGCATAGCTCCGGAGCTTCCCTTCGAAATATTTCTCGCGCAGAAACTCGGTAAGCTGGTCGTCCTTAGACTTTCGGCGAGTTGCGTCCGCTTTGCAAGGTGAATCAAATCAGAACCTGTGCAACGGCAAAAACGGCTTGCCTCCCGTCAGCTGCTAAACTGACTTTAGCCACCCGAACTCCTACCGGGAACCTCTCGGCTTCACAAAGAGCAGAGTTCAGGCTCAAGCCCTGCTAAACAGCAGCCGGGCTCAAGCTTCGCATAGATCAGCTCCTCTCCTCGGCCACGGAACCATTCGGTCACCTCCTGAAGGCAGACACTCAAACCCAGCACGGTGTTGATCCGTGCAGGCGTCTGACCTTTGCGACCCGTATCGGCCCATCCCCCTTAATAAATGTTTCCTGTGTGGGCAACAGTCACAGGCAGTGGGTGGCTTTGAGGCGCAATCCTCGCGACAGCTGTTGCCTTGCCATGCCCCTGCTTGCGTGGCGACAGTTACAGAGACGAGATGGATTAATTGGGGCTGATAGCCTCGTATTTATTGGATCTCGATATTACGGCGACGCTTCCAGAATGCGAACAGTTACAGGTATGGGAGGTGGATAAGTGTGCGATCGTCGTGGGTGTTCTCATTTTTGGGTCTTGACTGTTGGTGCAATTCCAACACTCACAAAGATTTGTCGTCTATGGTCAACGTGACGGGTCATGTTCATGGATCTTGATACCAGCGCACAAAGCCAGACTTCGTTTCTGCCGACGCCAAACTTCATCACCCACACCTACACGCGGAGGTGTGGAATTCAACCTAACATCCATTCAAATCTTTCTGGTACCTACTGGGCGGATGACAAGCACCAACCCGGACCAAGCCCAATCCACAGGAGAAGCGAATTGAAGCAACAGCCACCCACAGGGACAAGATCTAAACCTACTCAGCCCGGGAAAGGGGGAGTGACCGGGGAGCGCCTGACCATCTATGACGGATCTTACGCTGACCTGACTGTTGTAGTGAAGTGTGCGGCAACGGGGCGCGTGCTGCGAAGCGAATTCACTGCAGCACCACCAGCAGCGGCCACGGCCAGCCAAAAAGAGATGCTACAAATGATGCTAAAATTGCTAGAAAGCCACAGAGGAGGCCTGCACTTTTCCGAGCAAGGGTCAAGCACACCCGCGGCAGTATTATCTGTCTGCGTCTTGGCATCGTTTGCAGCATCAAACAGAACACTGTCTCCATCACGATGCCATTTGAGTTAGTTTTCGAAACTTTTCCCAACCGCCGCTTTGTCAACCTCATCTCCACTTCGGAACGATTCTGGGAATGCAGCTTTCCTATTGACCTTTCACGGTTGAGCATGTGGCACGGATCTAACCAAGCAGGGGCAGATTTTTGCGCGACAAATGTTCCCAATTTAAATTCCACAACAATGGTGGGACCGAAAATGGACCGAAAGCTTTGTGGACTGCCGGCATCTTGTCCTCCGCGCGACTGTTTGCAATTCAAACATTTCTGCGGCGTTGAATTTTTCTCCCTCAGAATGTTCGGTGGCTTTCTCGAGGACCAATTCCGACTCAACTCAACTCAATGACATGGAGGTTTTGATTCAGTGGCATGCACTGCACCTGAGAGTATTAAAGAACTGCTCAGTTCGTCCAGCAACATGCCCGCTTTGTTACCGGAATACTAGAATTATCCACACATGATGTGAAACCCTTGGGAATGCTCAGGCTCGAGCCTCAAAAAGCTGCCGCCAAAGCTGGCGAGTTGATTTTCTGCGCGCGTCCTCTTCGACGGCCTGTTGAGGGAAGCTCAAGGACCAAGCACAACAATACGAGGACACCACAGTCGTGGTCGTAGTCAGTCGTGTAGTGATAGTAGAAGTAGTAGTAGTAGTAGTAGTAGTAGTAGTAGTAGTAGTACCAGTAGTAGTCGTCGTCGTCGTCGTCGTCGTAGTAGTGGTGGTGGTAAAGCAGTAGTAGTAGTAGTAGCAGTAGTAGTAGTAGTAGTAGTAGTAGTAGAAGTAGTAGTAGTAGTAGTAGTAGTAGTAGTAGTAGTAGTAGTAGTAGTATTTGTAGTTGTAGTTGTAGTTGTTGTTGT